GTCAGCAGCCGCATTAATCGTGTTCTCGGATACTTGCTGATATAACGACACAAGCTCATGGCTGCTCCAGCCCCGCCGATAAATGACCCTCAGCCTCGGCTTCCGCCCGAGGTCTGCGAGCGCATCATCGACCATCTCGATCCGGGCCGTATCGACCGTTGGGGATGGAATGACGACAGACCGACTCTGTTGACCTGCGCCCTCGTTTGCCGAGGGTGGTACACCGAGAGCCGCGCGGTTCTTTTCGAGGAGCCCGTGCTTGGCACTCGGAAAAAGGCATTCATCTTTTTGAGGTCACTGAAGCAGACACCGCTCCTCGGTGCCCGTGTGCGAAGCTTACAGATCAGGCTCTACAAAGTAGGGATCATGACAGGTCGGGAGTCGGCATCGATTCTCGTGATGCTGGCAAGGAAACTTCCCAACCTGGACAAGCTCTCCCTCACCGTGGTCAGCTTCGAGCAGAGCCCTATACGCGATCTGGCATTTTGGAGTCTGCACGAGTTCAGTCATGTCACATCATTGCAGCTATGGATTGTGACGTTGCCATCGGCGAGCCCCTTCTTTCAGGTCATCTGTTCATTTCCTCATCTGCAGCACCTTCGTTTGTGGACTCTGCGCTGGAGCGAACCGAGGTCCATGGCGCCACTGCCTGAACGCCACCGCATGCCTTTGACGACAGTGACTTCCCTTGAATATGACCTGTCGTGCTTGGAAGGCATTGGACCTATCCTTCTCAGCCTGCTGGACCAAGCTATCCTCCAAACACTCCTCTTAGAGTCAGAAGTCTCTGCTGCGGCTGTTGCTTTCATTCAAGACATGCTGAACGTCGCCGGCACGAGACTTGAGACGGCAAATATCAGTTTCCTTAGACCATCGAAGGATGTCGGTGGCAGTCTCCAGTCATTGCTCTGTGAGTATTCAATCAAATAGTGTTCCATGCACAGCATGGCTCATATTTTTTAAGCAAACCCTATCAGCTTTGAAGCAAATGTCAATCTGCAGCAACTGCAACTGGCCGTTAGCACTTCAGAAATGAATGATGTTGAACTTTTCATTCAGAGTGAGCTGCTGCCTCTGCTCAACACAATATCATCAAAAGATATCAAAGATATCGGTTTTCAAATAGAAGACCATCATTCTGGGGCAAGAACAGCTGCCATGCTTAATGCTTTCGATCCGGAGGTCTGCATTCAGATTGATGAGCTTTTGGCCGAGGGACGTTTCCCCAAGCTGCGAGGCGTGTCTATAGACATTGGACTATTCGGATTACCGTTGAGTGAGTCACAGCGTGTTGGGCGTTGCACAGAGATCTGTGCGCGTTTTCCTAAACTGTTCGACAAGAACATGTTGACGTACGTCATCCTCGCTTCTTGGATACTTGACTGGACTCACATACATGCAGTGTTGATTATGACCGACGCCTCTCTCGGACGCCGGGAGCACATGGAGTGGGAGTCAATCGGCCGATAAACAGCTTCGTCTAGCCGAGCAAGCCGCCGCATAGGCAAATACTGCGTTTGCACTCATACCATCTCGCCTTCACTGTCCTTTCGAACGTATCCTGGACGTGCAGCTCCTACGCTCTCCCTCTTTCCCGGCCAGGTCTATCCCATCTGCCAAATATCCAGACTTCAGCCCGAGCATCGTACTCTCACCCAACCTCGTCTGTTTTCGTCGCGCCGTCGCCATGATCCTCGATACGGCATGTCGTTGCCATGTTCACTGTCACGGCCTATTGCATACCCGCGTCTTATTTTGCCGACCATCGCATTTACGCCTCGTCCAGGTCATCATGATCTCTCCCCCCGCTTTCCTCGTAATCACCGTCTTCGCAGAAAGTCCTTAAGACGCTCACCTCACATCGCTGATATGTTCTCGATTGTGCCGCAGTTTCTATGCCAGTTTTGTGTACTCAGTGCCGGATGTAACTATCACACGACGGACAAGATTTCGTATATCCCTCGCTTCGCTTGATTTGTATCTATGTCTTTGCTGCGCAGGTTCGTTCTTATAGGACTACGAATGCATAGCAGAGGTTTCAGCGGTCAGCCTGATCCCGTATGCATGGTGCGCCATCGCAATGAGTCTCAAGCGGTGTAACATCGACAGTCACGTAATTTACATAGTAGCAGTAAAGGAGATTTCTTTCACTCGAGGCGAATTTGGAATATGCCGGAGTAGCAAAAGTCATTAGCGTGGCTGAAAGAAAAACCAGACATATGCAAGAGCAATCCGAGATGAAGACCGAGCAAATGCACACAGACGGAGGCCACAGACATTAGCAGAGACCATATAAACGAAAGAAGAAGACGAGACCGTAGACCGAGACTGCCATAACGAGCGATTACATCAGAACCACAAAACGACCGAAGAGATACATATCCTAGAAAAGGCGAGACGAGGAACTAGACAAAGGGAAACAACAAACCATTGAGGCGAACGTCAGCACAAAACCTCGCCGAATGGGAGGACGACTTGGACGAATGCGTACGGCAAAGACAATGGGAATGGGAATCAATTCTTGCGACGTCGATGCGTCCGATGAAGCGCCGCGTGTCATCGATCCGAGCCGTTCACGACGAAAGCGTGCTCGCATAGGTGTGACGCTGAAGGAAGCATAAGTCAGCGGGTGCAAGGAGGCGCAGAGAGCGGTAATGCTTACCTACCCGTCGTTTCCTTTGATGTCCGGAGGAAGCTGAGCGAAAGCGAGCATTAGGACGGAAAAATCAATAAAAGCACGTACAGTCCGACGACCGAGTCAAATCAGCTCGCAGGCACACCCAGGATGAACAGTACCACCAAACTATCACAACTTGCGTGGAGATCGTCCGCGCGCCCGTTCTTCTCTCGTCGCAGATGGCGAGCCCCGAAATCCTTACAGCTTGCGGTTGTGATCGACATGGTATGACATCGAGGTACAAGAGCAGATCGTAAGGAGAGCGATTCACTGGGGGGACACAATGCGAACTTGATGTGATGGCGGTGATGTGCGGTGTGACCGAGGCAGGGAAGTTGAGGCAAGACGATGTCGACAACGTACGAAAGATCGTCGGCGACGTTAAGGGGTGAGAATGGCACGAAGACTTACTAGTAACGATTGACGATGGTCAAGGACCTGTGGAGGCTTGCCAGACAGAAGCAGAGGCATGAGAGCCTAAGAACGGCTTGTTGGGCTTCTTTCTGAAACCGTGCACATGCGTACCCAATTGCTGCACCGTCTTGCCGGAGTCAAGTATATTTCTCAGTTCCTGTGTGTATGCTCAGAAGGAATCTTATAAGCCATCGACGAATCTGCGTACCTTGGCGCGTATTCGACTGCCCGGCCTGTCCTTCGTTAAGCCACTGCCGACCCAATCTGGGCGTTCCCCGCCGCAGAATGCGACGCAGTCCATTTCTTCGATCGCGCGCTTCTCGCGCTCGTCTCCGTACGCGGGACAGGTCGACCGTCGAGAGCGCAGCCTGATGCTGCGAAATGGCGGCGTGCTGAGCGCCGAGTATATCAGCATGGTCGGTTTTTCATCTGTAAGTTCATGTTTCGAGTTAGCACCCATAATGTTGAGCAAAATCATATGCTGCACACGTACCATGCAGGCCCGTAATAACCTTGCAAGTTCCCAATGACACCCGTCACCGCACCGAGCACGCCCAGCTCCTCGCACGAGCCTGCCAGCTCGGGGGCCGCCGGCTTCGGGAACAGGCAGCGGAAGCACGGGCCCTTGCCAGGTCTGAGGTTGTACGTGCACAGCTGGCCGTCGATTTGCTGGGCGGCGCCGCTGATGAGCGGGCGGCCGAGGCGCACGGCGGTATCGGAGAGGAGGTAGCGCGTGGGGAGTTTGTCGGTGCAGTCGAGGATGAGATCGTAGCCGGAGAGGAGAGAGAGCGCGTTGGAGGCCGCGAGGGCGGTGGTGATGGCGGTGACTTGGATGAGAGAGTTGATGCTATATGAGGGTCATGCATGCTGACAGCGCATGAGTCGACGACTCGATCGTACAGGCGTGACGCACTGCTTGATGGCTTTTGCAGCGGAGAGGGCTTTATGCATTCCAACGCGAGCCTCGTTAATGTAGTATCTGCCGCTGTAGATTGGACAGCTCAACGACATCATGGTCAACGATGTCCAGCCTGCCTGGTCGAAGGACTCCTCAGTACGCGCAGAGTTGATCTGCTCAAGAGGACTCACCTACGCCTGCTGCTGCAAGATACTGCAGTCAGCAGAGCAGGACATCCCAGGCCTCCCGCGCCAACCACAACTACGGACGCATTCCGAAGCTTAAGTTGTCCTGTTGCATTGTTCCTAGAGAGACACTAGCCTACCTGGAAGGCCTATCCCGTTGAGGATCATCTGTCTGCCATAGCGTTTGTAATCGTCGAGACCCAGAGATGCAGTTTCTGAGCGCGTGATGACTGTTCTTTACTCCTTGATGCTGTGTACAGGACCAGCTGGAGACTATGGTGGTGAAGTAGTGAACGCGTCCATCTAGAAGCTAAGCTGAGGCGCGCTGGTCAAGGACTGGAGTGAGTCGGATGGTCAACGAACAAAGGCATTGCACCGCCACCGTAACGCGTGACGGTACGCGTCTGCTGTCACGCATCAGTGCAGCGCACGCGAGAGACTCGCGAGAGTCGCCACCTATCGCCACCGGCACCACAAGGGCAAGTCCGAGTCGAAGAGCCTTGAAGAGCGAGCGCAAAAGAGAACACTCAAGCTGGGGTAAGACGTGGAGGGACAGTACGATGCAAGGCTGGAGAGGTGGCGGAAGCAAAGAGGCGCGATACCGTAGCGGCAGGTGGAGAATACGGGTGGAGTGCGGTTCAAGGGTACGTCCTTGCGTTCCTTGGGAGGCAACTTGTGCTGATGGGCTGCAGGCCGCGGGAGGATAAAGTAGATGAATCTGGAGATAAGTGCTCGGAGGGGGGGCGAACGAAAGTTGCGCGTTTGTCCGGTCTGTCTTTGGTGCGTTGAACGCATCTTGGTGACATTGATTTATAGTTGATCTCACTCCATCTGTGCAGTTCTGAACCACTCTCCGCAGACATAAGTTCGGCTGAGCGGATGCCTCGCAGTTTGGCAACTCGGAACATCCTCCAGCCTTCGCTCGAATAGTCTCTCTTCTGATCCATTGATCGTAGTGCGGCATCATTCCACGGAGCGCGCTTGCCAGAAATGAAGCAAGATGCTGACAAACAGGCTTTCGGTCATGAAACTACCGAGAAGGTCTTTGGCAGGTCGAACCACAACTCAGAGGTGACACGACTTACGGATCGTTCACGCTCAGAATCTCGCGAAAGTTGCGATCTTTTTCAGACGAAGCGATCGTTATCGCTGCAGGAAAGCTCAGAAGCAGGATGGGTGAGTCTCTTGCCATTTATTTCATCATCGAGTACTTGGCTGCTAACGCTTCTTTTTCTATGTGAGACGAATTCGCTATACGACGGGATAGCGTACAATTGAAGGCTGGGATGTAACCCAAGCAGCCCAATACTACTTGATTATTTCATAATTGCAGCTCTTGCATCCGGGTTACTCCAAGGCTTATTCGAGTGGATCACGGCCAGGTTGAGCGTTAGCTGTCGAAGTCTGACTCTTGCACGATCAATACCGGATCATCAGCGTGCAGCGGCGTGGAATTGAGTCGGGCATGTTCTACGGACGGCGGAAGAAGAGCGTCTCAGCACACTGTACTCGGAACCTCTCGACTCCAGCTATTACTATCCGGAGCACTGTGAGTACTTCTCATGCTCTATGTGGACATCAAAGTGAGTGGCACCTTCGCGTCTGCTGCCCGCACCACTACACGCAGCTCAGCTAGGTTCCCATGCACGACCTGGTAGCAACGGCGCCATGTCATACTCCGATGATTCTGAAGACAAATTCCTTGCGAGGCTGTTGGGCGTGTCACGGCTTCAAGGCGGTGCTGCATTTAATCAGCCTGCAATTTCAGGGATCGATAGCACCGCAACCAAGCGCTATCAAGAGACTCAGTCCGGATAACAGGAACCGCTGAGAAATGGACGCTGAGAAGCCACGCTGAGTGCTTGGCTGTTCAAGACAGCCCTACATGTGTGCTGCAAGCTCCGTGTTCATGGGCAGGTGGTGCAGTGCGCAATGCGTGCGACAGCGACCGTCGATTTCAACACGACATCCTCTGTTCACTCTATGGACAGCGCGGGCACGTTATTCGTACCCACAATTTGCGGATGCTGTCATGGCACGCACCAGGACGCCGCTGAGAAGGCGAAGCGCAGTAATTCCGGGATAGGCGAGCCACATATGATTGCGATGATTCAACATAAGCAGCACAACAGAACCTCGTATTCGTCACGGTCAGCGCATGCGCAGAGCAACATCGATGTCCGGCGTTCGATGAGAGTGAATGCACTTACATCGCTGTGCTGTGTTTTGCATCCTTAATCTCCAGGTCATAGACAGCGAATATGGGAACTGAAATTTGTCCAATGCTACAGTGCCACAGCCTCTATCCTTGCACAATGGAGGTATGCGATGATCAAGTGCCACCAATAGAGGCTGTGTGAGCGTCAGTGGACCGTATCGGCCTTATGATTCTGTGGTATCGAAGCGTTCGTCAAGTATATATAAGGTTCCACACCTCCAAGTCGTCGCAGACCCTGCAGCCTGCTCTTATTCCCTCTCATCGACATCCTCTGCATTGTTATCATTCTCTATTTCGTTCCGCGCACATTAGAATCACTCGTGAGGAGCTACAATCGTGTTCTCGGACACCTGCTCATGGCCGCTCTGCCTGTCAATAACCCTCAGCCTCGCCTTCCGCCCGAGATCTGCGAGCGCATCATCGACCATGTCGATCCTAGCCCTTGGCACGGATCCAGATCGACTCTGTTGAAATGCGCCCTCGTTTGCCGAGGGTGGTACGCCATGAGCCGCGCGGTGTTATTCAAGGACCCCATGCTCTTCACTCGGAAGGAGGCGATGGCCTGTGCGAAGTCACTGACGAAGATACCTCTCCTCGGTGCCCGTGTGCGAAGCTTACAGATCGGAACTTTAAGGTCTACGCGTATGACAAGTCCGGAGTTGGCATCGATTCTCGTAATGCTGGCAGGGAAACCTCCAAACCTGGCCGAGCTCAGCTTATTGCAAGTCAGCTTCGAGCAGTGCTCCATGCGCAATTTAGCGTTTTGGAGTCTGCACGAATTCAGTCATGTCACATCGTTGGAGCTATTTGGTGTAACGTTGCCATCGGCGAGCCCCTTCTTTCAGGTCGTCTGTTCATTTCCTCGTCTGCAGCTCCTTCGTTGCGAAGGCCTGCACTGGAGCGAACCGAGATCCATGGCTCCACTGCCTGAACGCCACCGCATGCCTTTGACGACAGTGACTTCCCTTCAATATGACCTGTCGTGCTTCGAAGGCATTGGACCTATTCTTCTTGGTCTGCTGGTGGATCAGGCTATCCTCACAACACTCGACTTATGTCCGCAAGTCTCTGCGCCGGCTCTTGCTTTCACTCAAGACACGCTGAACCTAGCCGGCAGGGGACTCAGGATGGCAGCAATCACTTTCCGGGAACCAGAAGAAGATGCCGATGGCAATTTACAGTCCTTGCCCTGTAAGTTTTCCATCAAACAGTGCTCCGTGCACAGCATGGCTCATACTCTTCAAGCGCACCCTATCAGCTTTGACGCAGATGTCAATCTGCAGGCACTGCAACTGGTCATTCACACTTCGAAGATGAATAATGTTGAACTGTTCATCCAGAGTGTGCTGCTGCCTCTGCTCAACACAATATCATCAAAAGATCTCAAAGAAATCCGTTTTGAAATACAAGGCCAGGTGCTATGGAAAACAGATGCCCTGCTTAATGCATTTGATCCAGAGGTCTGCACTCAGATTGATGAGCTTTTGGCCGAGGGACATTTCCCCAAGCTGCGAGACGTGTCTATAGCCATTTATCTACTTCTCTCTGAGTTGGATGACTTGCAGCATGTTGAGTTTTGCACAGAGATCCATGCCCGTTTTCCTAAACTGTATGACAAGAACATGTTGACGTGCGTCATCCTCGCTTCTTGAATACCTGACTCAACTCACATGGATGCAGTATCAATCATTTCTGACACCGATTCCCTAGCGATACTGAGAGGGCATTGAAGGCGAAACAATTGGCCGATAAACAGCCTCGTCTAGCCGAGCAACCCGCCGCATAGGCAAATACTGCCTTTGCACTCATACCATCTCGCCTTCGCTTTCCTCTCCAAGTCATTCTGGATGTGCAGCTCCTACGGCGGCGCCCCTCTCCCCCGGCCAAACCCCATCCCGTCTACAAATCATTCAGATTTCAGCCCAAGCATCGAACTCTCATTCAACTTCCTCGTCCGCTTTCATCATGCCGTCGCTGTGATCCTGGATATGGCACATCGTTGTCGTGGTCATCACTATGGCGCATTGCATACCCCGTGTCCCATTTTGTCGACAATCGCAGTTACGCCTCGTTCGCGGTCATCATAACCCCCCCCTTTCCCGTAATCACCGTCTTCGCAGAAAAACCTGCTGACTCTCGCTTCGCGTCGCCGATATTTTCTCGAACGTCCCGCAGTTTCTATGCCAGTTTTGTGTTCTCAGTGCCGGACGTAACTACTGCACGGCAGACAGGATCCCGTGTTACTATCTCTCGCTTCGCTTGACCTGTACCCACGTCTCTACTATGCGGTTTCGTTTTTATAGGACTACAAATGCACACTAGATGCCTCAGTAATCAGCCTGATCACGGGCACGATGTGACAGCGCAGCGAGTGTCAGGCGGTAAAACAGCGGTAGGAGATTTCACCATCTCGCAATCGCGGCGAAATATCAATGATAGCCGGAGTGGCAAAAGTCACCAGCGTGGCTGAAAGAGAGACCTAATATATACAAGAGCAATCCGAGACGAACACCGAACAAGTACATACAGACGGAGGCCAGAGACAGTGGGAGAGACCATATTAACGAGAAGAAGATGATGAGACCCTAGACCGAGAATATCATAACGAGAGAGAACATCAGAACCACAAAACGACCGAAAAGATACATGTCCTAGAAAAAGCGAGACGGGGAACAAGGCAAAGAGGGAACAACAAACCATGAGACGAACGTCAGCAGAAAAGTTGGCTGAATGGGAGGACGCCTTGAACGAATGCGCATGGCAGAGACAGCGGTTATGGGAATCAATTTTTGCAACGTCGATGCAGCCGATGAAGCGCCGCGGGTCAGCGATCCGAGCCGTTCATGACGAGGAAGGCGTGAGGGAAGCGTGTGTTCATAAATATGATGCTGAAGGGAGCATAAGTCTGCGAGGGCAATGAGGCGCAGAGAGCAGTAATGCTTACCTTCCCGTCGTTTCCTTTGATGTCCGGAGGAAGCTAAGTGAAAACAAAAATAAGGACAGCAAAATCAATAAAAGCACGTACAGTCCGACGACCGACTCAAATCAGTTCGCGGAAGCACCCAGGATGAACAGTACTGCCAAACTATCACAACTTACATGGAGATCGCCCACGCGCCGGTTCTCCTGTCGTCGCAGGTGGCGAGCCCGGAAATTCTAGCAGCTTGCGGTTGTGACCGACATGGCATGATATTGAGATACAAGACCAGATCGTAAGGAGAGCGATCCACTGGGGGGACACAATGCGAACTTGATGTGATGGCGGTGATGTGCGGTGTGACCGAGGCAGGGAAGTTGAAGAAGGACGACGTCGACAACGTACGAAAGATCGTCAGCAACGTTAAGGGGTGAGAATGGTACGAAGACTTACTAGTAACGGTTGACGATGGTGAAGGACCTGTGGAGGCTTACCAGACAGAAGCAGAGGCATGAGAGCCTAAGAATGGCTTGTTGTTTCTGAAACCGTACACACACGTGGCCAATTGCTGCACCCTTCAAGTATATTTTCAGTTCCTGTGTGTGTACATCAGAAGGAACTCTATAAGCCACCGACGAGTCTCCGTACCGTGGCGCGTATTCGACTGCCCGCCTTGTATTCCATTAAGCCTCTGCCGACCCAATCCGGGCGTTCCCCGCCACAGAACATGACATAACCCGTTTCTTCGATGGTGTCCACCTTCTCGCGCTCGTTTCCGTACGTGGGACAGGTCGGCCGTCGAGAGCGCAGCCTGATGCTGCGAAATGGCGGCGTGCTGAGTGCGAGTACATCAGCATGGTCGGCTTTCCATCTGCAATGTCCATGTTTCGAGTTAGTACCCATAATGCTGAGCAGTATCATAGGCTGCACACGAACCATACAGGCCCGTGATAATCTTGATTCTTGATCGCCTCCAGCACCTGCAAATTCCCAATGACACCCGTCACTGCACCGAGCACGCCCAGCTCCTCGCACGAGCCTGCCAGCTCGGGGGCCGGCGCCTTCGGGAACAGGCAGCGGAAGCACGGGCCCTCGCCATGGCCGAGATTGTACGTGCACGTCTGGCCGTCGAGCTGTTGCGCGGCGCCGCTGATGAGCGGGCGGCCGAAGCGCATGGCGGTGTCGGAGAGAAGGTAGCGCGTGGGGAGATTGTGTGCAGTCGAGGATGAGATCGTAGTCGGAGAGGAGGGAGAGCGCGTTGGAGGCGGTGAGGGCGGTGGTGATGGCGGTGACTTGATTGCGAAAGTTGATGCTATGTTAGGTTTATGTATTTTGACAGCGCATGAATCGACCGTATAGGTGCGACGCACAGCTTGATAGCTTATTCAGCGGAGAGAGCTTTATGCATTCCAACGCGAGCTTCGGTGTGTAGTATCTGCCGTTGAAGATTGGACAACTCCACGACATCATGGTCAACGATGCCCAGCTTGCCTGACGGAAAGACTGCTCAGTACGCGCACAGTTGATGGGCTCAAGTGGACTCACCTACACCTGCTGCTGGGCAGAGCAGGACACCCCAGACCGCCCGCGCCAATCACAACTACGAACGCGTTCTGAAGCCTTAGTTGTCTTTCACAGACCTCAATTCGATCGCCCTGCGTAGTTTCTAGAGAGACACTAGCCTACCTGGAAGGCTATCCCGTTGAGGATCATCTGTCTGCCATAGCGATTGTAATCGTCGAGGTGTAGAGATGCGGATTGCGAGCGCATGATGACTGTCCTCTAGTCCCTGACGCTCTGTACAGGACCTGCTGGAGACTTTGGTGGTAAAGTAGTGAACGCGTCCATCTAGGAAAAAAGCTGAGGCGCACTTAGGACTGGAGTTCGGAAGGTCAACGAACAAAGGCATTGCACCGCCACCGTAACGCGTGACGGTACGCGTCTGCTGTCACGCATCAGTGCAGCGCACTACTGTTCCGGAGAAAACTAAGTAGTTTTGTACGACAAGGGTTTTATACACGTTTTAAACTATGTATTAAACATGTTCAAAACTCGACCCCCCCAAAAAACGGTGTATTAAACTCCAGTTCGAGCGCTTAGCGAAGATGGCTGCGAGCGGCCACTGTGGCCCTAAGATCATTCAAATATGATATAGAAATTCCAATTCTTGGATATTGAGACGAAATGATCGATCAACACTGTACAGCTGTGGCTTCCGACACCGAGTGCGGCAGCAACATTCATGGATATTGATATGAACGTAGAGATTCCCTCCCACGCTGCTCTGAATAAGCAACTGTTCCAGTTGCGCCAGCACCTAGAACATCTACCCGAGGATATTCCCATTGGCAATTGCTATGACTTCAAGGGTTATGCACCGAGCGAAGATGCGATCACTGACTATGGATCAGCAGCTGCGGCATTCAACCACGATCTCGAGGTCATTTTTGCACCAAAAGGGCGTACCGAATACCCCATTATATTCCACCAGCGAGAAGGATTGACGGCTGTGGTGGATGCACTGCGAAAGCATATTTTCTCAGATCCTACGAATGCAGTCTTACGGAAGTGGGTGGCAGACCTTCTGGATGCAGCACGAGCTCATTGTCGTGTGAGTGAATTCTAAGCTTGAGACCTGCCCGAGACTCACGAAAATGACATCATACACAGTCATCGATACCAATTGATCCAGCTTTGTTGAAGGAAGGGTTGCCAGGCGATGCTAGTATGGAGGTGCAGACAGGAGAGAAGCGATTGGCAACACACCATGGCAATGGCAGGAAAACTAAACGTACGAGGGGCTCAGTTATCGGCACATCCATCATGGATTTATATGAGGATATACCTAAGCCACTGCCAAAGGGGCCTGGAGGTCGACCTGGTACAGATCTCCTGGACAGACTCTGTGTTCGTACGAAAGTGAAGGGAGTTGTTGGCACACACTGGCGATGTGTTGAAGCTAAGCAAGGCTG